AGCCATTATTTGTGTTACACAGAAACTTGGGTTCAAGCATGTCATCTTCAGCAAGCACCTCGTATAATTATGCTTATGGCCATCCTGTTTTGATTGTTCCAAACCAGTTTTAAATAATCTATTGAAATTTCTATTCATGTTTGCAGACAAACTTGCCTAAAAAGGGGCCTTCCTTGCGAAGAAAAACCCAAGTGTAAGTGTTTAAATTGTGATGGTTGTTCAAATTTGTTTTCATGCATGCTTGCGAGTTTCAGCCAAAAACTAAATCAGCTACAGAAACAAACTCATCGTGAAATTTTCTTGACTACGTATGTAGATTATTCATTGTTCATAAATTGTGGAGGACCAGAAATGAAATATAAGGAGAATACCTACGAGGACGACACCAATCCAGATGGCATCTCATACTTTTATTCTCGTGGTAAATGGGCCTATAGCAGTACAGGAGTATTCTCCCAAAGTTCTAATGATGATTACATAGCAAAAAACACATCTTCTCTCAACATTACTGGTCCAATCTACCAGACAGCTCGCCTTTCGCCTTTGTCTCTCAAGTATCATGGCCTCTGTATGCTTAATGGAAATTACACTGTCAAACTTCACTTTGCTGAGATTATGTTTTTTCAAGGCCACAATTTCAGTAGGTTTGAAAGGCGAATCTTTGATGTTTCAATTCAAGTAAGTCTCACCATGTTGCATCTAATTTCTTTTCTGGTTTATTAGATAATCCAATTAAGAGAAATAAATATTGTGGGATGTCTCACCTATCAAGTAAGCTCACCACTATGACTAAACACAATCCATACCCGTGGTCCCGAAATATCAAGTGAATATCATCAATCTCTCTTTCTCTCTCATAAATGAATTGGATTATTAAATTATTACTGTTATATATAATGCTTCATCACGCTTTTCAATTGTTTTTTCTATGTTAGCAAAATTTTTGAGGGGTTGAAAGTTATGTGTCTATATCTTGATAGGGTAAGAAACGTTTGAGTGATTTCGACATTGTGGAGCAAGCTGGCGGTGTTGGTAAGAGCATTGTAAAGGACTTTAATGCTGTTGTGAATGATAACACCTTGGAGATCCATTTATATTGGGATGGGAAAGGAACTACTATTCCTGATTATGATGTATATGGACCTCTCATATCTGCAATTTCAATCACCCCAAGTAAGTCAAATCTCATATTTGAGCTAAATGATGACACTTTTGATTTTGATACATATGAATAATAAGCATTTCTGCATTATTTGTTGTAGACTTTAAAATTCCTTCAGAAAGGCTTTCTATTGGAGCTATTATAGGAATTGTGGCCGGATCATGCATGTTCCTCATACTAATACTGTTCATCCTTCGGAAGATAGGTTTCCTAGGCGGCAAAGATTCAAAAGACAAACGTAAGATCACAATCTAAAATAGTAAACACTAATTATGACATGGAAGTCAAATGCATAATCATTGATTTTTGTATATTAATGTGATTACTGTTTGTTGTAATTTCAATCAGTTCTACTTTCATTTATGTAACATTTGATGCAGAATTCCTAGATCTTAAAACGGGTTATTTCTCTTTCAAAAAATCAAAGATGCCACCAATAACTTTGCCCTAAAAATAAGATTGGTGAAGGAGGTTTTGGACCAGTGTACAAGGTAATATTTGACCTATCATATTTATATTTAATTAACTAGAATTAATAACTCATCTTTAAGATGTATTGATTTTTATGCTTAAATAAGATTGATGATGAAAATTGAGACTAAGCAATTAATTGAATTGTAGGGTGTACTATCAAATGGTGTTGTGATAGCTGTGAAGCAACTTTCCTCCAAATCAAAGCAAGGGAATTGTGAATTTGTTAATGAAATTGGAACCATATCTGCTTTACAGCATCCAAACCTTGTCAAGCTTTATGGTTGCTGCGTTGAAGGAAACCAGTTGTTGCTTATATATGAGTACATGGAGAACAACTATCTTGCTAGTGCTCTTTTTGGTAAGAATATTCAGATTCTCTACAATAAAATATTACCATATATAGTATGTATGTTATAAGAAACTTCAATTTGCAAGTTCTTTTTGAACTAATTGATACAAATGTTAGGTGGTCAAGGGCTAAAGCTACACTTGGACTGGCCTACAAGAATGAAAATATGTGCAGGGATAGCAAGAGGGTTAGTTTATCTTCATGAGGAATCAAGGTTGAAGATTGTGCATAGGGATATCAAGGCAACAAATGTCTTACTTGACAAGGATTTGAATGCCAAGATATCAGATTTTGGCTTAGCAAAGCTTGATGAAGAAGAAAATACTCATATTAGCACAAGAATAGCAGGAACAGTGTTAGTATTCTATTACATCTTTTTACGATAGCAATTCTCAATGTTGGTATAGTATTAATATTGATAGGTTTTTCCTCCTTAGAATTTGCTTGCATATCACTTGTTTTATGACTTGGTTTAACTATTAACATTATTACATGTTCTCTTATCAGCGGTTATATGGCTCCTGAATATGCAATGCGAGGATATTTGACTGACAAAGCAGATGTTTATAGCTTTGGAATTGTTGCTCTAGAGATTGCCAGTGGAAAAAGTAACACGAGTTATAGGCCAAAAGAGAAGTTTGTTTATCTTCTTGATTGGGTTAGTTACACGACTTACACTTAGTATCAGTGTTCAATATACACACACTTGATTAAAAAAAATAAAGCATTTTTAATATAAGATAAATTGACAAATTTTTCTAAATATTTTTAATTTGTCTATAATATTGTTAGTCCTTCAAATATACAAATATTTTCTATACAAGTCCCTCATATTCCAAATGCTTAACTCCATTTGGTTAGGACAAATCACTGCTATATAATTTTTTAAGTCAATCTACTTACATCATTATCTCTTTTTCAAGTAGAGAAAAATAATGTGATACATTTTCATAAATTCATGGTTTGATTCAATTTCTAAGAACTACATTCTTTCATGCAATTGAAGGCTTATGTTCTTCAAGAGCAAGGAAACCTTTTCGAGCTAGTGGATCCAAGTCTTGGTTCAAACTACTCCTTAGAAGAAGCCATGAGAATGCTAGAGTTGGCACTCTTATGCACTAACCCATCTCCAACTCTCAGACCACCTATGTCCTCTGTGGTTAGCATGCTTGAAGGGAAATTGCCAATTGAAGCACCAATGATCACACGCAGAGAGGGTGAACAAGATGCAAGATTCAAAGCCTTTGAGATACTATCACAAGACAGCCATAGCCAAGCCTTTAATTCATCCACAATCTCATAGGTACGTGAGGAGCAAATACTTTTGAAGTAATGGATGGTTGAATAATGGATTGATTCCTCCATTTCTCTTCCATGTTTCTCTTCATCTAGTAGGTTTTTTTACTACTCCAACTATGCATCGTTAATTTGATCAGATTGTAGGTTAGAAAATTAATTTGCATGAAATTGCAATAATATATCTTTCATAAAGAAGTAGTTATTGTTAGAAGGAGAGTTATAAACATGCACATGCAAGTCAGGAAAGATAACATGATGTGTGAAGAATTTTCATGGACTAATAATTAGTTATTATTCTATTTTGTAGTTTAAATGTACTGTATAATTGACGCGACACAGCCTTGCATTTGTGCTTGTCTTGCTTTATTAGATTTCCTAATGCGGAATGCTAAATTCATGCATACTTTGTTTTAAGGTCTTGAAAATATTTATAGAGTAAGATATCTTTATTAGTTTAAGATATAGAAAACATTTTAATATAAATTTAAAATTAGACAAAACACTAAAAAAGGGAATATAAAACAGTTATTTTTACTAATATTTAATGGTTATGAACTGTTGAGTAATTTGGTGCTGAATATTCTTGAACCTTTTATTCAATGATTAAAAACTGTTGAATATTATTTCTTTAGTCAATAGTTTTTTTCCCGAAACCAATGAATAAACATTTGCATTATTGGATTTGAATTTATAAGTGAGTATATTCAATGGTTATTCATTAAAAACCATTGAATAGTTCATTGTTATTCAATGATTCTATATATAAAACCATTGAATATTATGTAACTATTCAATAGTTATATGTATATAACCTCTGACTAGTTTACATTGTACAATTTGTAAGAATATTCAACGATTTTTTTGAATAACCATTGAATATTATTGTCACGTTCCAAAAATAAAGGGTGACCAATACGATGCAAACTATATCATGCATTCTCATAAGCCTTAAAATAAAAATTCATTTTTGTTTTCTAAAAAAAAACAATCTGATCATATAAAAATTCTAACACTTTTAATATTAACTGTTAGAATAAGACTTCAATATTTTTGTAAAAATTTTGGTAAAACCTCCCTTGTATATAGAATTTCTTGAAAATTCTACAATAAAATTTTTCACAAAATATAGTATCAATCAGGAGCTTAGCTGCTTCCAGCCAGCAGCAGTATATATAGATCAAAATAAAATTCTAACACTAATCTATGTGGAGTACTAATCTTTCTTTTAAATCAAAAAAACATACAACGTATATATTTACATCAAAAGTAATAGTACCAATCAAAATTTTCACCCAGTGTAGCTATATTGCCCTTCAGAGGTCGATGGTGGGATCAACGTCAGCTAACAAATCTAAGACCAAAATAAGTTTTCCAGTGAATAGCATTCCCCAAAGTAAAATTTCTAAAATTTAAATTAATAAACTCTAATAATGATGTAAACTAATTAAAAATAATTCAAAAAATAAATTTGTAGGTCTATGAGTCGTAAACATAATAGTAAAATGAGAATAAATTGGAAGTAATTTATTTTATCATACTTAAAGAAAACAATTTATTCGCACAAAAATCATACTGATATAATTGCCAGCCAAAATCATATAAATTTTGAAAACACATATTAGTCAACATCAAGAATTTTGAGAACTCAACAAAATAGGTAACAAATGTGGACACACAGTCCACGAGAATAAATAACTAAATGCAGCTTACATTATGAAAACAAACGTGGACACACAGTCCACGAGGGTAAGTAACCAAATGTAGCCGAAGCCACGAAACAAATGTGGACACAAAGTCCACGAGGGTAAGGCTAACCAAATGCAGCTCGAAGCCACGAAACAAACGCGAGTACAAGGCCTGCGAATAACAAACGTGAGAACAAAGCTCACGAAAATCAAACTAGCTAGTTATTAACCACAGTGCGCTACGGGCTAACAAAACTACCATTAGCAGTAGTGTTCTGTTTAGAGTCTTCTTAAAAATCATGTTTCAAACATGTGAGAAGAATAATTACTTCTGAAATACAATTTGTATTTTCATTACGAAACTCGCATAAATCATTTCAAATTTCAATGTGGTACTTGTCGAAAATAATATTCCGTAAATAATGTATAAACTTGCATTAATTAAATAACCAAAATTTTTTAGAGATTTATAAACAACTAATTTCATAATCTTTGAAATATATTTCTTAAGGAAATAAATGCACATATCATCATCTAATTATCCATCATTAATATTCCAGGAGTTCTAAAACTAACGTAATTCTTAAGAGTAAAATATTTCAATAAAAATTTATTGAAAATGAAAATAAAAATAAGATAAGGGGATGCTATTTACTTACTTACTGGAGTTTTGAATTCTCAAAATATTCTTTCTTCACCTTCTATCAAGATCCTCTTCTTTCACAGGTCCTATAAAGATATTAGTAAACATAATTTAATAAATCATCTTTTTAATTTACAAAGACTTCCTTCCACTCCTAATATAATTTCCATCGACCATTATCATTTAAAATTCAAAATCGAAATTCATGCTTTAAAATTATTTCAAACATTCCAATAAGCATCTCATTGATGTCAATATTTAAGTAGAATATCAAAGCTATCCTCTTCCAACCTTTTCTTAATAATTTCCTTAACATCAATCAATCCAAATAAGATTGGTTTAGCTCCAACATTATAACCCATATATGTACATGTGTGTGTATATTATTATCAAGTTTTAAAATAGATTTCTATCCCAAATTTGAGCCTTCTCCCCTTACAACAACATGACAGCAACAGCAACAGAGGGCATAAATTTTGCAACTTCAACAAACCCATCACATACGTGCAGACTAAGAGAAAATGAACTATGGAGATCCCTCACCTTATCAACGCCAATGACCGAGAGAAAAAGAGAAGATGTTGAAGTTTATGGCTAAACATGGGAGAAGAAAAATAGCACTGTTACCACGCACAGCAAAGAAAAGACGTTTGACTCCACACCATGCATACGAGCTCACAGCAACAGTCCCCCAATTCTGACATTTTATGACTTGTCAACCCAGAACAACGCAAACAGTGTAGAAGACAAAAAGAGCAACAGAAACAGGGGCATAAAGCAGTGAAGAAGGTGACGAGGCTCAAAATGAACTAGGGAGGGAAGGACTCGCGAGCTAAATCTTCCATCTCTGGCAAACTCAACTCCTCACATACCAACGATGCAAACGTGACAAAGAAGACAATGGTAGAAGGCTCGAGTGAATCCACACCAAGAAACGAAGGAAGAGGAATAGCAGTGAACTTGTGGTAGCTTGAGACCTACGCCAGCGATGATATGATGATGGAGAATAGTGGCGGACGGCAGCACAGACAGCAGAGATTGGAGATCAAAACACACACTTTCTCTCTAAGGTTTCTAGAGAAGTCAACACTAGAGTAGAACACCAGCCAAGCAGATTTTTATTTCTCTCTCTTCTCTATAAACCAACTTAGTTTGCTGAAGAATATACATGTTTCTATCTCAAGCATATTTTATTGCTTTTATTATTGTTAAAAGGGTAAAATGGTAATTTCATACAGGCAAAAGAAATAAAACTTCTCCATTATGCTCCAGAATTGGTTCGAACTTGGGACCTACTGAATAAGTGGTTACATAATAGCCACTAAACTAACTTTTCTTCTTGCTAAACATGTTTTCAAAATTAATATAACTACTGTTAAACACCAACTTATATATATAAATACACACACACACATACTTATTATTATTATTATTATTATTATTATTATTATTATTATTATTATTATTATTATGGGCTATTACAATTATGACCAAACCTTTTAAAATAAGGGGTTACATTTCTAACAACCCCCTATATTATAAACTACAAATTTCATTCCAACATCCAAAAATAAATTCCAGCCAATAATAATCACACATAACATGAATATACAATGAATTCCTACATAAGCTATATACAATTTGAGGTTGCTTAAGAATTAGTAGTTAAAATGTAAAACTCAAAATCCCAAAAATTGGCTAAGATATTCCTATCATTTATGTGAACTTTAAATGTAGACCATTATTTCTTCATTATTACTGCTGTTGGTTGTTAAAACTAAACCATGCTTGGAAAATATTATGTGCTAACTCTTCAAGGACTTTTTTCATTTAAGCATGAGTATATACATGTGTCACAGTATATGTTCTCGTAGTATTATATGCAATAATAACAAAAAATTAAAATCATGTTTATTAATAAAAACTAATATAATGATAAATGGGAAGAAAATATATATTACATCATTTGAAAGAGTCCTAGTCGGAGCATGCTAGATTATGTCCTTCATAAATTTCATGACAGCGTACCCATAATCCCTAGCTTTGTCTGCTTGGTTTGGGCACTACAATCACACAGGGGATAAAAAAACCAAACAGTTAATGATATTACATAACCTATGGTGACGTTGTAACAAAATTAATGATAAATACATATGCCTTGACAACTGTCTATAATGCTACTATATCAAACCGACTGCTACCCTTTACTAGTTGTCAGAATTGTTGATCTAACATTAGTGCGACATATGATAATGGCCCTAATGTAAAATAGAAGACTTTGTATGAGAAGTATTCATACAAAAAAAATTACATACATATATGCACAAAATTTCATCAACTTAATGATTAATCATTTCTACTATATGTAGTCAATTAGAGGTATGGCCACTACGAATAAGGTCAAGGTACTATACCCTCCCTAAAGTTAGATTGATTACAAGTAATATCCAGTGTCTCCTATGACAAAGATTACAATTAAGAAGTCAAATAAATAATGAAATTTTGAATAAATTAAAGTGAAGCATCATAAAGTGACTTATTATTCACAATAAGGCACTGTGAATATTGTGTTCTTATCGGCACCATGTTGCTGGAAGTATTTTAAAAGCTTTTGAGATATTTCTAGTTCTTGCTAAGGTGTCACGTCCCGAATAATGGGAGTGACCAGCATATGATATGTGTACAAACCCACATCCCTTGAGCCTCAAGAAAAAAATTTTTCTTTAAAAAATTGTAATTATATTTGCATTGGTATTAGGACATTCTTAATGTTTTTCTTCAAATAAAAGTCTTAATATTTTTGTAAATATTTGGGCAGAACCCCTTTTGTAAATAGGAACCCCCAAAAACTCTACTATAAAATTCTCAAACAAAAATCACTATAATTAGGGCCTCTCCTCCTTTTCCAACCAACAGACAAAATATATAGTATAATAATAACTCTAACTATAGTATATATGGAGCACTTAAGCACATTCTTCATGACATAATAAATAAATTTCATATTTACATTAATAATAAATATTTACATGACAAATCTCCATCCAGCTTAGCGAAAATCCATCATTGGTAGGCAGGACGTACAACGCCAGTTGCACTATCTGAGACCAAAATACTTTCTAGCGAATAACATCCCGACCATCAAATTTTACAAGATAAAATTTAATAATTTACAACAGTTATGTAAATTAACGATAAAGCAATTCAATATAATAAAATTTGTAAATTTAGATTAATAATACCAAAAATATTTAAACAACTTCAATAATAAGAATATTTAAATCTATAATAACAAAGCAACTTTAACATTTGATCTTGACAAGTCAAAATAATTAAATAATAAATAAAAATAACAATGTTTATTAATTGAAAACCATTAAATAGGAAATCATTAATTAATTTAAAAAATCATATTTCCGGGGATTTATCAGAATAATTTACAAATGTAGACACACAATTTACGAGGGTAACTAACCAAATGTGACTTACACCACAAAGATAAATATGGACATACTGTTCACGAGGGTAAATAACCAAATGCAGCCGGAGCCACGAAACAAACGTGAACACATAATTCATAAGGATAAATAACCAAATTCAGTCAGAGCCACGAAACAAACGTGGATATTGACCTATAAATAATAAACATGAGGACAGAACTCACGAAAATCAAACTAGCAAGTCATTAACCATGGCGCTCCAAGGGCTAATAGAACTGCCGTTAGCAACCAATGTTCTGAATAAAATTCCCTTCAAATCCATGTTCAAACATGTGAGAAAATCATCAATATAAAAATACAGTTCTCATTTTTAAAGTCAAACTCACATGAATAGCTTTGAGCATTAAAAACTTGCAAAATAAAATTTCATGACTACCATCCATGTTTGGCATTTATTTACTAATAAAAAATAATTAAAGTTGATAAAAGTAATCTCGTCAATTTTGAAAGTATCCTTTGTAAGGAAAATACATACACAAGCCATAACTCCAATATCATTCAACCTCTCTTTAAAATTTTTCAGGATAAAAATAATTTAACTAACAAAGTATTAAATACGTAATATAATTGTTATTAAATGATAAAAATAATAATAATGTTGGAAATAGAATTTTATTGCTAAATCAGCTGGAACGCTATCCACTTACCTAATAGATTTCCAAGCATATAACTTACTTTCAAATTGGCCCTTTTTGCAACAACTTGAGGTCCTTAAATTTCTATTGTCCAATTAATACTATAGTCATTTTCCTATATAAACTTTACAATCTAAAATTCACAACTTAAATTTATTTAAGGATAAGAATAAATAAATAAATTTTATTTCTTTATTTTCTAACATTTTTTCAAACATTGCATCAATTGTTATTCCTTAAAAATTCCAAACACTAACATATCAATAGCAATCTAGTTCATGAATTTTCAATCAAAATACCTATTCTACAAATCTCTAATTTTTGCCTCAACTTTCATTAAAAATGTTTTTTTCAATAATATTTTGTCTAACAACAATACAACCATCACTAGTGTCTTGCCATAATAGTTTAGATTCTTCTAACACACATTTTCCCAAATACCTTACAAGCACTATTGTTTAAACCATGATACCAAATTCTCCTCTTCTCCAATCCCCTTATGATATATAATAAGATTTAAGTAGACCCCCTACAACTTTAATAAACATCCTTCTCACATTAACACATCATAATCCATCCAAATAATTCAAAGTTTCCCAAACATTATAGTTTATAACACAAAGCTTTCTCATATAACTTTGGCCTTAACTAGATACTCCCTTAAAATGCAATCTCTTATTAAGCTCAATGTACATTATTTCCAAATCCCACAATAAAACTTTTAACATTCAAATTCTTACCTAACAATTTCTCAACAATCATATGACTCCAAAGAATTCAATTCTCTACACATTACTTTTATAATTAAATTCCTTGTCAACCTTCAAGTTAAAACTCAACAAAATAATATTTGTCTCAGTCATGCTTGTCACCATAACAAATAGAATTTCAAAATATTCAAAATCAAACAAAAGTTCTCATAACAGGAATTTTGTCAAACACCTTTCTTGCATGAATTCTTAAACTCAAGCCAAGCTTATTCCTTTTCAATTTTATCTCTAAAAAGCTTCCCAATGACTATTGGAACTAAATAAACCCCCCTAATTTTCATTCCCTGTATAATAATCAATCCACATCAGAAAAAGAATATCATTTGCCCCATTCAATCTTGCCTCTCTTTTACATTGAATGTCAGAAAATTATGGATTCAAGCAAAACTCATCTATTAAAGCTGTAACTAATTCCTTTCATATTTCAGTCACCAAACGACCAGCACAAAGAAAGAAGAGAGAAAAAAAAATCAATCTTCCCATACCCGAACAACAGTGTCCGAACAGGGGAGAGAGAGCAGGTCCTATCGTCGAACAAGGAAGAGGAAAAAAAATGAGCTACGCACCAGCGCACGAACAACAGAAACAAAGATGAAGGAGAGCTTTATCATTGGACTGGAACACGAACAGAGGAGGAAAACGGAGGATTTGCGAGCTCCGTCAAATTGGTAACAACAGAAGCAAAAATAAGAAGTTGGTTGAGCAAAAATGAGCAAAAACTAGTAAACCCACATCCACTCACACAAGACAGACAGCAACGTCGAACTAGCAGGAAGCAAAACGCATCGCACGAACAGGGGATGAATAGGGGACGAAGAACTCACAGTTGACGGTGCGACGAACAGCAGACCAACGATCAGCAACAGTGAATAAATGGCCACGCGAAGTAGGACGAAGAACGCCGGCGATCACGCTAGAAACGGAGATCAGAGGCAAGCGTTCTGGAGCTCTCTCCCCCCCCCCCCCGGGTGTGTCCTCCAAAACGTGAAATGGAAGAAGAATGGGAAAAAAAATCTGACGAGCTGTGTTTTTATTTCTCAAAAGAGAGGCATTATGGTAATTTCACAAAACTGAAACCAAAATAAAAATCCTTCCTTTTGCATTAGCAAGAACGAATTCATGACCTGATGTAGATAAATTATCAATGCTACTCCCACTAGACTATCAATTCTTCTTGGTAAAATATTTTCAAAATTAATACAAATACAATTAAAAAACATCATTATTTATTTTAATTTTTTTTATTTAAAATTCCTGAGTTATTACATTAGAACTCATGATGTTGTGGCCATGAGGAGAAATCACATGGGGACTAACAAGTATAAGCCTTTTCTCTATATATCAATAGAAAAATTTCAAAAAATTCAAACACATTGTATATATAAATAATTATGTAAAATAAGGGAAAAACTAAATACAATTTCCATTAAACAATTGAGCAATTATATATATATATATATATATCAATAAATTCAAGCACATAGCATAGAGCATTTCCCTTTAGCCAATTATACAATGGTGAACCTAGAATTTGAAGAAAAATATTATCAGCATATTGACATGAATTGAGCATTTTAATTTCCAAGCTTAATGCCCTCTTCTACAAATTCAGCAATAAATTATATATCAATAATTTTAGAACAAAATTCACAAAATTATATATCAATAAATTTCCAAGCTTAATGCCCTCTTCTCACGAGCAGCATTGCTGCGAATGGGCTGGAGTTCAATGTGACAACATCACTAGTAGAGTCACAGAGCTTAGTCTCTCTTGTTCTCCTGAACTCTCTGCTAATACTTGTGAGTATGACAAAGTAAACTGTCTGGCAGGTGAACTTCACTTATCTTCACTTCAACTTGAATTTCTGAATTACTTGGATTTGAGCAATCATGACTTCCAAGCTGTCACCCTCAATGATTGTCCTCATTCATGTGAAAATATTAATTCTTCCAATCTTCTTTATCTTGATTTATCATATAATGAGGATCTCCATTTTGATCATCTTCATTGGCTTTCTATTTTTCCCTCCTTGGAACATGTTAACCTTAGTGGCATTAATCTTCAAGGAAAAGTTGACTGGATTCAACTACCAACTCTGCTTCCTTCAATCAAAGAGTTACGCTTTGATAGCTGTCAACTTAGAAACATCAATCCATTTCTCCAGTATGTCAATCTTACTTCACTTGAATTCATTGGCCTTTCTGATAACAGCTTTAGCTCTCTCTTGCCTGTTTGGTTATTCAATCTTAGTGATCTTACTTTTATTGACTTGAGCTATAATAATTTTCAAGACCAGTTCCCAAAGGGGTTACTAAACCTTCAAAAATTACAAACCTTGTATTTAAAGCACAACAAACTCTTCGGATCCATTCCAGTTTGGTTAGGCCAACTTGAACATCTACAAGAAGTTGATGTTACTGAAAATTTATTTTCTGGTCCTATTCCCTCAACTTTGGGAAATTTAACATCCTTGACTCACCTTCATGTCTCCTCAAATCATTTAGAGGGTAGTCTTCCAGAAAGTCTTGGGCAACTCTTGAACTTGGGCGTATTAGAATTTGATGATAATCACTTAACAGGCCATGTCTGTGAAAGAAATTTTGCCAATCTCTCAAAGCTGACTGTTCTATCCATGGGATCTCCAGGCTTGATCTTTGAATTTGACTCTCTTTGGATTCCTCCTTTTCAACTTGAACAAGTTGGTTTGTCATACATGGTGGGTCCTAACCTTCCTACATGGCTATATACCCAAACATCTCTTGCATTATTACAAATTACTTACTCAAGCTTTTCATTGGAATCCCAAGACAAATTTTGGGACCTTGTGGCCCAAGTGCCACGCTTGTACTTAACGTACAACACAATTGTTGCGGACATCTCTAATATGTTACTGAACTCTACAGACGTAAGGTTATATTCAAATCAAATCCGAGGAACCCTCCCTCGATTGTCACCCAATGTTGTCTGGTTCAATGCTAAAAACAACTCTTTCCATGGATCCCTTTCTCCATTATTATGTCAAAACATGAATGAAAGAAGCCAGTTAATATATTTGGTCTTGTCTGATAATTTTTTGTCGGGTGAGCTAACAGATTGTTGGACGAATTGGAAATCATTAGCTATTATTAGTCTCAGCAACAATAATCTAGCAGGAACAATCCCCAGATCATTGAGCTTTTTGTCAAATCTTACAGTTTTGCATCTCAACAAAAATAACTTACTTGGGGAGTTACCTTTATCATTGAAAAATTGCCAGAA